GAAGTTGACGAATTCGCGCCCAAAAATGTTCGGAGTCGAAAGTTCGGAAGTTCTCGGAGTCGGCCCACCCTTAATTTACAGTTAATGGCCTAGTTTGTCTTCCGGCGATGAATCCTCACTTTCACTGGAACTGCTAGCGACGCAATCGGGAAGATTGAGGAATACCGGACCACTCGTAACATTATTGCGCGAGAATGTGGGGTGGGTGCGGTGGGTGAAGGAGGGGGTGGGGGGGTTCAGGGGCGTTTCCCCCCTGACGAAATTTTTAATGATTAGATCTACCAGTCCGAGATTCTCCATTGAGAGATAAAAACTGGGGAAAATCATGAATTCCTAAGGCTGAGACATAGGCAAAGTCAGTCCGCTGGTCCGGTATTCTTCAATCTTACCACGCAATCACGTGCGGGACTGGAGTGTGGCGGATACAGTCGAGCGGCTTGCTTTGGGAAGAAGTGGAGCGCTTCCGGCTTGGGGACCGAACTCACAAATAAATACCGGGCTAGGTACTGGTACCAGTATTTAGACCTGATACAACCTTGATACCTGGTCTTTTAACCCACTCTTTAATATCTCGCCACAGCCGCTTGATATTCTGTGTGTGGATACTGGAGTCTTCGAAGTCCACATGCACAAAGCTCTCAAAGTGGTTTATCATGTGGTGTGTATAGCCCAATTCCGCAAGGCTGTGGTAGGCTTTCCACGAGTCGCTGTAAATTACAGACCCAGGCAGAATATAACGTTGAATGAGAGGCCAAAGCGTGTCCCTGGTGCGTCTCTCCCCTTCACGAGTTAGAGCCACAACAAATCTCCGCTTTGAGACCCTCTCCCCTCCACCAAACAACCAGATTTGGTTTAAAACTCTGCCTCTCTCGTACTTTCTGCGTACGATCAAGGTCTCGTCAAACTCAACCTGGACACCCGGTCCGCCAATCGCCTCTCATCTGTGACCTTGGAACAAAAGGAGCGCCAGTCGACAGATGTTTTCGTTGATGGAATTGATTTTTTGAATGCTTGTTTTTTCACCATAACATGTAAAAGAACATTATTTTTGCCCTTGCTTTGGTCGTAAAAAAACGAAAAAAGGGAAGAGAAAAGTTACAGTTAATTTAAATTTTAAATCCTTATTGTAAACTTAAGAACCAACAGAAACTAAGGATTACTTTGCCTTCATCTTCTGATCCTAAGCAGTCCTGAAAATGAAAAATTTGGTGAATGAGGGACGCCGTAGGCCTACATTAAAATACATTATCATATAGAGCACTCCTTATAAGATCAATCAGTCATGAGACGCTTAAGTCACAGAAACATTTTAATGTTGAATTTCAAGCTATTGGAAAGAATCCCTACTGTTGTAATGGATGCAGATTTGTTTTCTCTTGTCAGTGTAAAAATGCAAGATGCTGCATGATACGGTTCCTTTTTCGTCACACACTTACTCACGGTTTCTACGCACAGCCCGTCCTCCTGCAGAGGTTCTAGTGTTTGACCTAGTTTCTTCTTTTTCCAGGAACAGACCTGGCTGGCAAGATGAACTTCCTTTCATCATTTTTCATTTCCTTGATTTATTGGACTGGACTTTCAATACACTTAGTTTCAGGTATGTTGCATATTGGTCAATTTTTATATTTATATATAATTGTAATTAATTGGTTTGGCTCACTTGAAACGTTCTTTTCAAAAGTGTTTGATTCCACCACAACTAACCTCTGCCTTTGGCATCCTCGTCTTAACACTCAGTGCCCATTGGCAAGCTTGGTGTTCGCTTTGGTTTGGTCATCGGGACTAGCCATATTTTCCTCCCTGGAAGGAGAAAAACTACCATTGTGGCACAAACCGAATGAAAACGATAATGACTTTCAAGAACGAACACATTTGTTTTCAAGTTCAAGAATATGAGTCAGACGATCAGTTTGAGACAGGGGTCTATTTATAGTGTGCACTGAAGCTGCGAGAAACCAAACCGATCCTTCAATGAACAGCCTATAAAAAAATAAGGAAAATATCAAAAGATTTGACTTCCTCAATTAGTTGTCCTATGCCAGAGTGTGTATGCTTCGAGTGGGAATTCATGGTCATGGGGCTCAAACTTTATGGGTCTGTGCAGTAAATGAACTTAAATGATAATTTACTTTCTGAAAAATTATGGACAAATGTTAATTTGATGTATCCCTACACTTTTTTTCTCTTTATCTGTTTACCTCTTGTAGGAAGCTAGAATGTGTAAGAAACTGTTTCCTCATTCCATAGTATTATGTAAGACCATCGTTACCATGTACAGACGTGACAATATTTTATAAGGGAGTGCTTATTTAGGCCACATATGGCCTAAATAAGGTAAGGGAGGGGGGTTTAGCTTATTTAGGCCACACGTGCTCAAACTACCGGGGGACACCATTTCAGGCAACTGAGTTCGTTCCACTTTCATAATGGTGCACCTTTCTCATATTTAGTACAGTTTTGTCTCAGTGTACAACTTATAAATCATAACCATAATGAATATTGTAAAGAACAAAGCACAACACGCAAAATTTTGCTCAATCCCAATGGTTTGAATGAGGGCCAGATTTTTCCTTCATGGAGGGGCAAAAGCTAGGCTACCATTTTGGCACACTTTGGTCAAGTGAAAAGGTGTAATCCTCCGAATGGACTTCCGGGTTAAATTTGGGGTATAAAAAGAGTGTACACAACGTGGCTGAGTCAAAGTTACACTATCTTTGCCTGAGTGACACTCTCTCATACTGTCTTGTAGTAGTACATGTAGGCTAGTAGGCCTAGTAGTAGTAGTAGCAAAGATCGTGTAGAGAATATTTGGTAGTAGATTCTATCTAGTAGGCAGTTTAGTGAACGTGCTCGCAGCAGGGCGAATCGGCCTTGATAAGCCCCGTAGACTTTTGTGATCGGCCACGAAGCCTCGTGTTTTGATGGGTCTAAACAGCTCAGTGTTATTCGCACTGCCACATCCGACAGGCCTAGATCTACATCTTTTTAAAAGGAAAAGAAAGATCATCAAAATGGTTGAATTCGCGTGAAAATCGATTCGGTAGAACTAGAACTATTAAAATTTGCTTCTGAAAACGTGGCAATTTTTATACGAAGGCCATTTTTATAACTCAATGAAATAAAAACTACTGGCTGTGTACTGTGTTATTTTGTATAAAAATAAATTATGAAACTTCAGGGCGTAATATTATTTTCCAGCATCTTTTGACGCCTGAGCTGTAGAGGTTGAAGTTTTCACCACACTAATAGATCTAGTAATAGGCCAGGTAATAGGGCTTTCCGTAAAAAATGCATAGATCTAGAAAAGCCGAACCACCGAATCGACCGAGCACCTCGCTCTCCCCTGCACACTGTGATAACGTGTTGCTTCGGTATCGCATTATTCAACTATTAATACGTGCGGCTATGGCAATTGGGATGTACTGACTGACAAAAAATTGAGTTTTGTTTTTATTTTACCATATATTTGACTTTAATAGTGCAGGCGATAGCAAGATCTAGATTCCCTGTCTAGAATCAGTAGTAGCAGGCCTATGCTAGAAGCAGCCAGAGAGCCTACAACTGCTAGATCTAGATCTAACTTATTATTGCTATGCCTTTGGGCTTTGGAATTGAAATAAAACGAATTGCACAGTTCTAGTTACTTTTAGATTCAGCAAGTAACTGTATTTCCAGAGTTAATAATAACAAATCTCAGCATAACAATCACTTTTACTTTTATTAGAATAATTAGATCCAACTTTTTTTTCTAAAATCTGTTTTACGTAAACTTAAGATTTTCTCTACTTGTAGAGCACAGAATTTACATTGTAAGCCTCTGCTCAGTCTTTTAGTATACATAATAAAATACACACACACACACACACACATATATATATATATAGAGAGAGAGAGAGAGAGGTCTATATATCATTTTATGTTGTTTTCGGGATATTTTTAAAACTCTTTTTTTCAACATGTCATAAAATCAAATTGTGCCATTTTCTTTGAAAAGAATAGCATTAGCAGTGGACTTTTTAGACAGCGAGTCTCTGATTCAATATTTTTAAAAAAATATGCTAATCAATGAAAATTGCAAATTGATAATAGTTTAGTCCTGAAGAAGATAGGTGGACTCCGGGGTCTGCAAAGCGAAATACTAGGTTTTAGGATGTGAACCCCGGAGTCACCGTAGTGAAATAAGGTTTGGTTTAAGTAAGGATTGGTGGACCCCGGGGTCAACGTAGTGATAAATAAGCAGGTTTAAGGTGGACCCCGGGGTCTACCTAGCGAAATACTAGGTTTTAGGACAGGTGGACCCCGGGGTCACCGTAGTGAAATAAGTATGTTTCTTTAAAGATTGGTGGACCCTGGGGTCAGCGTAGTGAAATAAGTAGGGTTAATTTTAAAAGGATTGGTGGACCCCGGAGTCACCATAGCCGTAGAGGAATAAGAAGGTTTAATTAAGGATTGGTGGACCCCCGGGGCACCTAGATTAAACCTACTTATTTTACTACGGTGACCGCAGGTTCCACCTATTCTAAAAACCTAACTAGCATTTCGTTAGGTAGACCCTGGGGTCCACCTTAAACCTACCTATTTCACTACGTTGACTCCAGGGTCCCCCAATCCTTAAAATTAAACCTAGATCTACATGTACTTATTTCACTACATTGACCCCAGGGTCCACCAATCCTTAATTAAACCTAGATCTACTGATTTTACTACGTTGACCCCGGGGTCCACCAATCCTTAATTAAACCTATATCTACTTATAATTTCACTACGTTGACCACGGGCTCCGCCAGTCCTACTATAAAATAAACTGAGATCTACTTATTTCACTATGTTGACCCCGGGGTCCACCGATCCTTAGTTAAACCTAGATCTACTTATTTCACTACGCCGACTCCGGGGTTCACATCCTAAATCCTAGCATTTTGTTAGGTAGACCCCGGGGTCCACCTATCCTTTTGGCTAGATAGACCCCGTAGTCCGCCTATCCACTTTCTTGATAATAACTGAAAACAATACATGCCAGTTGTCATGAATAGTGAAGAAAAATGATGGAAAAAAAAGACAATGAGGTAGACTGTAATTTATCAAAAAAATTGCAAGTGCAAGTGAAGATCATAAAATAATTTTGTTATTTTCTGGTCATCTTTCCCGGTTTATAAAAAAAAATTCAGTGGGCCTACTACTAGATCTATGTCTCTGAAGAACATTTTGCTTGCCTTTATTAGCTTTTTTCATGTACATGAAAGCATAGAATATATAGTTTCACACAAATATATGCACAATACTTTGAAAAAGAAAGATAAGGTCATTGTTTTTTTACGGAATCCGTTTTACATTGAGAAAAGCGCTAAAAACAAGTTTAAAAATTTTAAGAATGCCCATAATAATATTAGTATTAGGAATCCGAAATTACTACCTAGTTGGCTTACTCTTTAATAACCATGAGCAGTTTTATTAAGAAAAAAAAAAGACAATGATATAGGATTTGTCTACATAACTACATACGACCATTAGCAAGAAAGATTTTGCCCATTTTGTCCAATTATCCTTGCAGGTAAAATCACCCTGCACTGTACCTCAATAAGCACAAAAGGAATATTTCTGTGACTTTGTGTAAAGGTGTGGCCTAAATAAGGTAAGAGAGGGGGGTTTAGCTTATTTAGGCCACAGGTGTGGCCTAAATAAGGTAAGGGAGGGGGGTTTAGCTTATTTAGGCCACATGTGGCCTAAATAAGGTAAAGGAGGGGGGTTTAGCTTATTTAGGCCATATGTGGCCTAAATAAGGTCACCCATTTTATAAATGCAATATTATATTCTCCACCTTTGTGTGTGTTTCAAATTCAGGTCAAAATGGTACCATTGTTGCTCACTTCTCCACGGATTCAATAGATACAGAAATTGGAGACACGTCGAATGTCACATTGTCCATCAGGTACGTCGAATGTCACATTGTCCATCGTCTAATGTCACATTGGCCATCAGGTACGTCGAATGTCACATTGTCCATCAGGTACGTCGAATGTCACATTGTCCATCGTCTAATGTCACATTGGCCATCAGGTACGTCGAATGTCACATTGTCCATCAGGTACGTCGAATGTCACATTGTCCATCGTCTAATGTCACATTGGCCATCAGGTACGTCGAATGTCACATTGTCCATCGGGTACGTCGAATGTCACATTGTCCATCAGGTACGTCGAATGTCACATTGTCCATCAGGTATGTCGATTGTCACATTGTCCATCAGGTACGTCGAATGTCACATTGTCCATCAGGTATTTTCCTCTTTTGTTTGGTGTGTTTTTGTATGATGAAAGTTTGTGGTATGTGAGCCTTTCATCAGCTTGCTAAAGTATAACGTTTTATTCCCATGTAGTTCAATTTGTTGTCTTTTGTGTTTTCAACAGTTGTGCTGTGTAATATATTCGGTTTTATTCAGGTCAGCAGGCACCCAGCCACAACAGTGCTTTTTTATTTGTTCATGTTTTAACATTGTCAGCAGCTGTAATAATGAAATATGGGCCAACCTGTGCTAATGCCAGTGTGCATTGGTGCGGGTGCTCCTGAGAGAAAGATTTTTTACAGAACCTGCATACAGGTGGTTGGAGGGCGCTTCTGGTAGGTCCTACTTCTTTACTTTCCCTCTGTTGTTTCTGTCTTTCTGTCTTACCTTTTCCCAGCACTAAATCTCTGTATAAATTCTGTCGATGTGCTTCTGTCTACTCAAAGAAAACACAACAAAAGAACCTGCATGGAAATAGAGATCATCAGCTTTTCTGAAGTCTCAGAATCTAGAAAAAGAGAGACGTTTGTTCCCTCAGAAGTGTCTTTCTCTCCTTGTAAAGACATGCTTTGTGTGTGTGCATGTGTGTGTGTGCATGCATGCATGGTGAAACACCAGACCAATGTGCTAGGATCTGGACAATAAGGATTTATCTTATCTTATCTCAAAGTGCGTCCTTCTTTCAAGATGTGAAAACAGGTAGGAGTATATTGATGGTGGAAGCAAAAGAGTGTAAAGGCTCAAGTTGAAACAACATTCATAAATCTTCCACCAAGCAAGCTTCTCGCCGTTTTGTTTCACTTCCTCAAAGCTGATAAACTGAGCTGTGTGGATCTGATGGGCCAGCCGTTTTGTTTCACTTCCTCAAAGCTGATCAACTGAGCTGTGTGAATCTGATGGGCCAGCCGTTTTGTTTCACTTCCTCAAAGCTGATAAACTGAGCTGTGTGGATCTGATGGGCCAGCCGTTTTGTTTCACTTCCTCAAAGCTGATAAACTGAGCTGTGTGGATCTGATGGGCCAGCCGTTTTGTTTCACTTCCTCAAAGCTGATAAACTGAGCTGTGTGGATCTGATGGACCAGCCGTTTTGTTTCACTTCCTCAAAGCTGATAAACTGAGCTGTGTGGATCTGATGGGCCAGCCGTTTTGTTTCACTTCCTCAAAGCTGATAAACTGAGCTGTGTGGATCTGATGGGCCAGCCGTTTTGTTTCACTTCCTCAAAGCTGATAAACTGAGCTGTGTGGATCTGATGGGCCAGCTGGTTTGTTTTGTGAATGCCATAGCAAATTTAGAGATAATTTAGGGTATTGAAGTTCTTTACTTTATTATCACAAGCAACACATTTTTGTTGTGTGTATGTATAAAATTTATTAGCCTGGCCTAGATCTATTTAATGACCATAACATTTTCACGGACATTGAATTCTGCTCTGGCCGAGATACAGAAAACACTTACCATTGCAACAACAGCAGAAAGATAAATTCCCATTGCTAATGGTGGTAAAACCATAAAACTATGTTATACTCTCTCTCTCCCTCCCTCCCTCCCTCCCTCCCTCCCTCCCTCCCTCTCTCTCTCTCTCTCCCTCCTTCCCTCCCTCCCTCCCTCCCTCCCTCCCTCCCTCTCTCTCTCTCTCTCTCTCTGTGTCCCTCCCTCCCTCCCTCTCTCTCTCTCTCTCTCTCACATACACACACACACACGCACACACACACACACAATGTGGTATGTATATATATAAAACCCTACCGTTCCCGAGCTATCACAATTGTGCTTGATTAGCATTTTCTGGACAGTTGTCAGGAAGAGTAATTGAAAGCAAAATCTGCCAAGCACAATGGGATGAAACACAGGCTGATTTACTAGTAGTTAGATTGCTGTGGTACTGCTGTAATGACTAAACTATTGTATAGTATATAAGGTAAACTGTTGAGAAAACAAGGCATAATTAGGTTTTAAAAAATGAGAGCTTTTAACAGATAATGTGTGTATTGTGAACCAGCTGCTGCATTCACCAAGCACAGCCGCCATCTCATGGTGGGTAATAATGTGGTTCTTCTGCCTCAGAGTTCACGGGGCAGGTGTGTGGATGATGGTCAAAGCTGTAAAACTAAAACTGGTAACCTATGTCCTCACTTTAGTGGGAGAAATTATTAAAGATGTATTCAGAGGTGAGGTCATAGAGAAATTATTAAAGATGTATTCAGAGGTGAGGTCATAGAGAAATTATTAAAGATGTATTCAGAGGTGAGGTCATAGAGAAATTATTAAAGATGTATTCAGAGGTGAGGTCATAGAGAAATTATTAAAGATGTATTCAGAGTTGAGGTCATAGAGAAATTATTAAAGATGTATTCAGAGGTGAGGTCATAGTATTCATTTGTGAACAGGAGCTTAAGTGAGTGATATGTAGCACTGTTTTTATTGTAGTATGTTCTAGATTGTGAAATTGTGAAAAGAAGGTTGACAGTTTATAAGCAGAGGTTTTGTTAAAAGAGAAACAACATTGGTGAATTTATCAGAACCTGGAAATATCGAGTTAATTATATAGGTCGTGTTTGTACTGTAAGCAAGTGGATTATTTTCGTAAGATTTCTTTTACCTTTAGTTTAGCAGTTTTAGATCCCAGTCAGAGATGAGGTGGTAGAAAGAGGCGGTGGTGATGGATTGGACATACTCTCAGGAAGTCAGGCAGCTGCATAACAAAGAAAGTGTTGAATTGGAATCCACAGGGTAAAAGATCAAGGGGAAGACCGCATGGAACCTGGAGAAGAATAACAGAAATTTGTGTACGGAAAAGTGGGAAGACATGGAATAACATCAAGAGGCTAGCTCAGAATAGAGAAAGGTGGAAAGGGTTTATCCATGGCCGATACCCTGGTGCAGGGTGAGAAAGACGACAATGATGATGATAGCAGTTTTAACAGACAAATAAAAACAGAATGAAGAAAACTCCACCAGTCAACTGTCAATTTGAAACTTTTCTCAAGTCTTCGAAGCACTGATGGAAACAAAAATCGAAATTATTATTGATAGCAGTTCAATCTTGATGTAATCAAGAACGGCCAAGGTCTCATCATAGGTAATGACAAATCAGGTGGCTATACCCAGCGTGTTGATAGGGGTCAAAGTTATAAAAATGCTAGCCTCTCTTAATCGTTCTTTGGAGGAAGACATTTATTCAGATGGGTTCAGAAGCCACAGTCCACTTTAATATGGAGGTACATGTAATGATAAATAGGGACTCTCAGAAGTGATATGTATTTGACTGTTTTGACTGGGGTACAATTTTGCAGATTGGGAAACTGTATAAGGTTGACGTCTGAGAAGGGAAGCTGTGAAATTTATCAAGAATACTATTGACCGTTATTTTAGGCCTACTGTGAGAAAGTGAAAGAAAATTAGAATAACATTCTTCTACATTGAGTATGGCAGTTGAAACGTAGAAATGGAAACAAAATACAGGAAATGGAATCTGTCAACTGTTCAAGTTCACAGAATGCTTATGATTATATGGAAGCAGGACTGAAATGATAGTTGATAGTTCAATCTCAGTGATGACTCATCTATGTCTGATCTTGACATCAAAGTACCAGAAAAGAGAACAGGAACCTTTTTGAAATGAAGATGGCTATGCAGGTAAACTCGTCTGTTGAAATAACAGGTTTTTTTTTAGAGCAGTTAAGAAGATCAAAATGGTTGCTGGTTTTTTGTATTTAAAAAAAATTCCAGTCTCTCATGGTCTCTTGCATTTGAGCTTAGAACAAAGTTGTGGTATTTCTGCTTAACAATCATTTTGCTTTCTTTTTTTGTTGTTGTTTCGGTATAAATTATAGGTTCACCCATGAGAACAATTCACTCAGGACAATTTGGGTGGCAACATCTGTTTTCGCCTACACCCAATTTAATGGTTCATTCTTCTCCCCAGCATTCAGCTCACAGTGCACACGCTTACAAAGTTACATTAATTTAAATAATTGTAGTGTTTTTTCCAGATAAAAATGTTATTATAATAATAAATGGAAGTTGGAAATGAAACTATAAATGAGAAAATGCTTGAGTAGAAGAAACATGCTTGCTTTGTTCTAAACGACTTTCTCTTTGCCACGTGCATGTTTTGGCCTGATGGACTGACATAGGCTGCATGTGGTACAACACACAGTGCTATGTTTTAACGGGATGTTCCTCATCTTTGGTAAAAGAAAAGAAACACGTTCAATCCACAACCCATATAATATATATATATATAGAAGCATGCGGGATGGACACACAGTGCGACCTGGCACTGGGACATATCATCACATTGGACAGAGTGGCAGGGTAGAGCAAGGGACAGAAAAAGAAGGATATGCTTGGAAGGACTTGCCTTGTAGAGACATACCCCTGTGCATTTTGTACACATGTCTTGCTATGTCTTGCTAACTGGGCAAGTCTAGCGCTCAGGGCCTCAGCCTTGAGGAAATGAAAGACAAATGATAGAATTAGGGGAAGCTTTTTTTTATGTTTGTGTGTGTCCCAAGCTTAGCAAAACATGTCAATTTGGAGGGTATTGCTGTCTCATCCAAACTGGATCACTGGTTAATTAGTTGCAGAATTTTCACAAATCTTTTGATGGAATAAAGAGTTAATAAGTCAATGTCTCAGTTGCTAACAGATAGCAAATCCGGATAAAAAAAGGTGAAAAATCAGTGTTTATATTTCCTAGTGACGAACTGTAATGACACCCCTGTTCGACCTACTTTTAAAGTGACTCCCCAAACACAAAAGCGTTTTGGTGACAGTAGGAGGGTATGTCATCCCAAATGATGCAGCTGTGTTTTGACAGTCGTTAGTGCTTATGTGTGGGGAAAAATCACAGATGATATAATTAATTATCAAGAAGGTTTCAGAAAAATCCAACATGATATATGCAGATATGAAAGCTCAGTGAGATACATCATATCAACCATTAGGGTCACCCGTTCTGGGTAAATTGGTCCAATGCCAGATTATTTATATATAGATCTTGTGCTTGTGATCGCGTCTTGTTCCTTACGGCTATGTTATCTTGCAAGGGAACATGGGCTGTGTGTTATTAGCTCAATTGCTGATACATTTTCATAAGTGCAATGATATAGACGACACTGGTTCGAATCTTCTATGGGAAGTTCTTGCACTTGGGTTGTTTTTAGAATTTGCATGACTCTCCACCCTTTTAATTCAGTCTTGTGAGTGGTTGGCGGGTGCTCTGGTGTGGTTTGCTCCTTTTTTCCTATCAAACACCTGTCGTCTTTATCTCCCCTCCTTCTTTTTTGTGTTTGTTACTCTCTTGTAACACCTCTAAACTTCAGCACTTATATATGACCTTATTGTGTTGCAAGTGCCTTGAAACTCTTAGTAAAATTTATAAAAATTAACTTACTCTTAAGAGAGATGGACGTTAAATTCGCATTTTCCTTTTTCTTTGATGGCCTTACAGTTTTGAAAGATTACCCTAATGTCATAAAGTTACCAAAGTCTTTTTTTCAGTAAGGAACATTTCGTATTTCAGCAAATACAAAGCTCCTTGAGTTATTATATTTTTCATGATAGTTATAAAAGAGCGTTTCCATAATTTACCATGTTCATTGCACTTTATAAGACATTTACTAGTCGGCAAAGGCATAATGTAATTCTGCATTCATGCACAAGGGCATTTATTTCCATGATGCAGACAAAAAACAAAACAGTTTTATATTATTCATGTAGGAGTTCTAATGTATACTGGTATTTATATATATATATATATATAAGGATA